AGTATCAACAATTTGTCTGCTGATATCTATAACTGCTAATCTGACACTGAAAACATTATTTGTGCCTATCTTCTGGAATTAGTCCTGCTCAGAAGACCAATTTTTCCTATATTTCTTCTATCACCTGAAAATTACTAAATAATGGTTCCTGAATGCTAAGGTTTGGTGAACAGAGATTTCACCAAAATCTTTATATTTTCTTTTATAAATCATCCTTAATTTTAATTTGTCCCTTTCTTTTAGAATGATGAAGTCTGATTCTACTTATCTTTGGAGACAGAGTAAGGTCATCAGTTTAGACTCTACCCTCCCCCATATTACCACATATGCCTGAATAGCTTGGCACTTGCTATCCTCTCTTGGTTCAAACTTCCAGGCATAATTATTTTCCAAGCAGGTGGACTAACACCTGGGTGTCTGACAGTGGAATGTGGTTCTGAGAAACTAAAACCAAATGTCATGGTGTTTTTTGGTCCCTAATCACACCTGCAGTGCTAATAGTCAGCAGAGTGGAAAACAGGATTTATTACATAAACTGTGTCCTTCTGTTATCTCAGATAAGTCCACTCATGAGATCTAACACCTCCTAAGGGGAAAGGAAATGAACATTTATTAAGCACCTGATCCAGGTCAAGAACTCTCTTGGATCTACATTATCTCATTTAATTCAACAACTCTATTGAATAATAATTACCACCATTACAGATAAGAAAAATCTGTGCAAAGTAATCCTTCCAGTAAGTTTAAGAATTAGATTTTGAACCATGGTGTCTCAGATTCCAAAGCCAATACTATTAATGCTCATAGAATTTTAAGGCTAGATCACAAAGAACCATGTACAGCACCTCGTTCAATCCCTCTATATTACAGATGACACCCAAAGAGAGAGACTTGCCCAAATGTTGGTGGTGAAATGGGTAAGAATTCAAGTCCCCTGATTTTCAGTGCAGTGCTATATATGATAATAATCTTTATTTTTGCATGTGTATGTATATTATATAGTCACAACTCTATATAACATCTCAACTGTCCCCAAATAAAATTCTTATGTGTAGCAATTTCAGGGCTGTACATTTTTAGTGACCAAAAATATTAAATGAAATTGGCAAGAATAAAAACTGGTGCTCATGAATTACTACACATTGTAAATAAGTCTGTCTCTACTGCATTTATTTTGTTCAGTCAAGTGCTGTAACGTACAGGTAACTATGTTTGGCAATAAGAACACTGCTGTACAGTATATAAGTCAGGAGTCCCTATTCTCATGGAATTTACATCCTGGTGGAGGATATGAACAAGTAAATAGGCGATTACAATGCAGTGAGGTTGGTGCTATGCGAAAAGCAAGCAGGGATACCTAACCCAGACTAGACTTTTGAAAGGGGTTTATGGGAAAGATGAGTAGGAGTCAACTAGTTAAGAAAGGAGAATGGAGTGTGCCAATGTCTCAGGAAGTACAAACTGTATTTGCACTGGAGAGTACAAAAAGACCAAGGGGGCTGTAGGAGTAGGGAGGAAAAAGAAACCCAGAGAAAAAAGCAAGGACAAAACCATACAGGTCCTTGACAGCCAGGGCTTGACACTCTTTTCTATTAGAATTTCCTGGTGAACTTGAAAACAAACAAACAAAACACAGATAACTGGGATCCATTTCAGACCAATTAAATCAGAAATCTCTGGGGGTGAGACCAGAGTATTTTTAAAAAGCTCCCTAGATTATTCTAATGTGTGGCCAGGATTGAAAACCACTGTTTATGCTGTAACAGAAATTAATAAACATTTATGACAGCAAATATGGGAAAAGGAGATCTTCAGTAATTAAGCCTCCTTGGGACCTAATGTCTTCAGTTCTATTAAAAAACAGGCTGGAGAAGATTAGATGCAGTGTAATACAGTGAAAGGGTCAGAAGATGTTGCTTTTGTCAATGAGTCTGTCACCTGCCAACTGACTTCGGATTAGATATCATTTCTTAGAGACAGTAATACTACTCTGTCTATAGCACTGTTAACATAGCTCAAGGTAAGTAACACTTAAGAAAAACTATTTGATAACTGTGCTAATGATGTGTAAACCATTATATTGTAAGATACTTCTAAAGTTGAATAAGTTCTAAGATTGTAAATATTTTCACTGGAGATGAAATAGTTTATAATGCTTAAGAAACACACTTCATTTAAAGAATCACCTCTACCCTGGAATTCAAGATATAAATTGATAAAGCAGAGAACTGATCCTTTTAATGCTACTGTAACTGCTCAAGAGATCAAACGGGATTAAGTTACCTCTCTTCAAATAAACAGATCAACAAAGCAAGAGCCCTTTAAACGGTTATCGTAACTATTTAAAAATCTTTATTCAGTAACGGGCGCTTAAAAGAAGCGGCACACAAAATAAACTGGTTTAGAAAAAGTTATTATAATTTACTTTATGTCACATATTATTCATAAGTTTAGGCTTTTTGTTTTCCTTTTTAAGGGGATACTGATTTGGGATGGAGAGGACCTTATTGACAGGAAGGAAGCTCTGCCACCAGTAGGGCTGTTCCACGCAGACCAAGCAAAGCCACTGCACTTTTACAGTCTCCCTTTAAACACAGCAAGCCCCATGACAATTTACACTTTCATGAAGCCATTTTTCAGTTCAAGTACAATATATTTGTATTTAGTGACATCTCTTTAATGCTATAACCGATTTAATTTTTTTTAAACTTAGGTAAATAAAAACACTATTCTACATTTACAGGTGTTCCATTTTTAATTCTTTAAAACTGACAGGAACGTCTTTAAATTTTCATGCTCACATAAATCATACAATATTAATATTCATTTACTTTCTTGTTATTTCCCCCATGATGCTATTACGATATGCTGTTATTATTTTCAGTCACCTATTTGGTGAATTTAATAGGAAAAGTACTCTATTTTGAAAAAGCACAAGGAACTTTTGAAAAAAGTTATTAAGTTTTATTTTGTTCCAAAATGTGAGGTGAAAAAACTTAAGCAAAACACCACCACACACACACTCCCCTCTTCAGATAATTTTGGCTGATGACACTGCAGAACGGTTAATCTGATAATTTAAATCTTCCAGAACGTGTGATGTTTAGATGGAGATCTATGCTGTCAACTAGACTTCAGTTAAAAAAAAATCTTAAAACCTGAATATACAGACACGTTCAATTGTTAGACTGTAGTTGCTTTGAGAGCTCATTAATACGAACACAAAGTGTTTCGATTTATCCAAACTAACTTAGCAACACAGTATTTTGAGTATTTTCTTGAAACACGCAGTCCAGCACATAAACAAATCTTGTACGGTGCAATGTAAGCAAATATCCAGAAAAATCCAGTTTCTAAGCAGGACAACATAGGACAAGTACTGTCCTCAGCGGTTCGAAAGTCGCAGAAGTGATCCCCTGAGATAACCTGGAATTCACCTACCCACGTATTCCAAGGGGTTCTCCGCGGCCACACGGACTACGACTCAAAACACCGTTCGGCAAACCCAGGTCCTGCATGTGCACAAAGGCACAGTGCTGGAACGAGGAAGCTTCGCCAGGATGAAATCTCAACTCTAATTCACTAAAGAATAAGCAGGCTGTTTTCTAGAAAGCCTCTCTCGCCGCGCTCCCTCTTCCCTTTATTTAATTGTGCAAACAGCCTCCTCGATTATTGACAGGAGAAAGGAAACACAGCCTTCGATTCCCAAGTCTGGGAACACGGCTGGCTACCACCATCACGATTCCTTCAGCACCCTAAAATAACCCCCTGGAGCCGGGGTCAGAAACGCCGCGGCCGAGCGTCTGGCACTGACACAGCCCCATCCCGGGCCCGGCCCTACCTTCCCGAGCCGCTGGGAGCCGGGAGCAGGCGTCGCTCGAGAAGCGCACTCAGCGAAGACAGTCACACGAGCCGCGGTGTCGGGTCTATGAATGAAACATCAAGCGTCGGTCTCGGCCACCAGGAAAAAACAAGCTCGGAGGGAGGGCAGGCGGGAGAGAGCCGGGGACGCGGGGCGGCCTCCTCTCCTGCCCCTGCCGGGCGATTTAAACCCGGCGGGAGGCGGCGCGGGGCCCCGGGCCGGCGGGGCGAGAGTCCCCGGGCGTGACAGCCCCTCCACCGCGGCCCGGTGGGCGTGCGCCGCGCGGGAGACCGAGCCGCCGCGGCCGGGGCGCGGCCCTGGGCGCACTTCCTCACCTCGGCCGCAGCCCTGGAGGAGCGGGAGGAGCGGAAGGGGCGCCGGCGAGCGGCGGCCAGGGAGGCGGGAGGAGAGGCGAGCCCTCCCTCCGCACGAAAGCCCGGGGCCGGCAAGGGAGAAGCAGCGGCGAGCGCAGGCGAAGTCCGCCGCGGGCCAACGCTGGGAGACCCGCAGCCCGCGGCCCCCGCCCCGCAAGGCGGGCGCGCCCGGAGTCCCCAGCCCCACCCGGCCCGTCCCCGTGCCCGCGCCCGCCCGGCCGGTCCGCACTCTACTCACGCTCGGGGCTGCTCCAGGCTCCGCGGCTCACACCGCATCGGGTCCCGGCCCCGCGGGCGGCGGCGGCGGCGGCGGAGGCGCCGAGGGAGAGGAGGGCGGGCGGCTCGGCCCCCGCCTCCCGGCCCCTCTCCCCCGCCGCTCCGGAGCTGCCCGGCCGGGCCCGAGCCCTGCCTCGCGGGCGGCCCCAGCCCCACTCCCCGCGGCCGCGGCGGCAGCAGCCCGAGACCTCAGCGGCCGCGGCGGCGGCACCGGAACTGCCGCTTTCTCCTCCTTGCTCCCTCTCCTCGCCGGCCCCCGCCCCCGCCTCCTTTCTCCGTCGCCCCTGTTTTTTTTTTTCCTTTTGTTTCCAGAATAAACTTTATTGGTCTCTTTTTCCGCTCACATCGTGTAAACAAACAAGGAACTCTTCCCCACCCCCTCGCCTCCCCCCTCCTCCGGCAGAGGAGGGTCAGAGCTGAGGAGGGGCTGAGCCTCCTGTGCCCCGGAAGCAGATGCACGGGGAAGCGGAAGTGAAATGGAGGAGAGAAGGCGCAGGGAATGGGCAAACAGGGGACTGCGCTACTGCGCTTGCGCCTGGTTTTTCCGCCCGAAGTCCGGGTGCAGTTCTGTCTGCTCTTCTGACGCGGGATTAATGATCCGTCTTCTGCAGTAGTGAGGGTGTTGTGTCACCCTAGGACAGCGGACCTGTCGTACAGTTGTTTCTAGGAGCAGCAGGCGGGCTGGGGTAGAGATACAGAAAGGCATATTGGGAGCAAGTGGGTTCGTTCACTTTGACGTCCCTAGAGGAAACGAGAAGGGTTTGAGGGGAGAGGGGGCGCGGCGGCTAACCGCGACCGCCAGCGGCTCACCAGAGTGGTTACGGATTCGATCCTAGAAAGAACGCTTTTCACGAAGTGCTGCTGCGCGTTCTGCCAGCACCGGGGGAACGTGTGTCCCGTCCCGGGGCGGAATGCGCCGTCACAGCGCTCCGCAGGCCTTTGCCTCACTTCGTGGAGACCTTTTGCTATGCCCTCATTAAAAAACAAAAAAACATCTGACTGTGATTCGAACCCGCTTGTAGGATTCAGTTCTAACTGTTCAGAAGACGTGGAGATTTTCTCGCGTAAAGCCGACAGAGGCTTCAGAAATGTGGTCTAGTTACCGGTTTGATTCAAGGTTGGGGCTTGGTGCTGAGCACCTTGAAGTCTCTGCGTGAGAGCAAATGGTCTGTGGACTTGAGATTACCACTGATAAGCGTTGGGTGCTGCGCGTTTCTCTCGCCCTACTGGTCTTTGGTTGTGATAATTGGAAAAGCGTAGGGACGGTGGTGAGAAGTCTGAGATGCGAGTACTCCAGCATCCGTTCCTTCTTGAATTTTTAAGTAATAGAGGCTTGGAAGTGACCCATCCTAGAGATGTTACAGTCCTAGTTGTCATCTGGAGCAAAATCGAGCACCGCACGTCGGTCCCATACCGCAGTGCAAGGTAGATGGGATCTCCTCCCTGCGGTGGTAGATTCACTGGGCTGTATTTCTTTATTTCCTGTGTTTTCTTCCTTTTTCTCCCTTTAGCTCTGTTTTTCATCCCACATTCCAGGGCATTGTGTTTCTAAATATTTTTCTCCAGCCAGTGTTTTTCAGCAGTTTCAGAACCCCGTTACTCCAGAGTACGGAATTTTTTTTTAAAAAGCAACGTTGAATTGCTAGTCAAAGTAAATCTTAAGGCAATATTTCCCAAATTGTGTTTCAAGCACAGAGTTATGTGAGATATTAATAGGTAGACTTTGGTGGGGAAAAATATTCCAGGGATATTTTTCCTTCTAAAATTTATTATTATTATTATTATTATTATTATTTTTGAGCTGGAGTCTCACTGTCTCGCCCAGTTTGGAGTGCAATGGCACGATCTAGGCTCACTCCGCCTCCGCCTCCCAGGTTCAGGCGATTCTCCTACCTCAGCCTCCCGAGTTAACTGGGATTACAGGCACCTGCCACCATGACAGCTAACGTTCGTATTTCTTAGTAGAGATGGTGTTTCACCAAAATTCCTGACCTCGGGTGATCCACCCCCATCGGCCTCTCAAAGTGCTGGGATTTCAGGTGTGAGCCACCATGTCCAGCCTATTTTTGATTTTTTAATTTTTAATTTTTTTTTTTTTTTTTTTGTAGAGACAGAGTCTTGCTTTGTTGCTCAGACTGGTCTCCAACTCCTGGGCTCAAGAGATTCATCTACCTTGGCTTTCCAAAGCGTTGGGATTACAGGCGTGAGCAGACATGCCCAGCCTAAAATTTGTTTTTTAATAAGTAACAGAATGCTAATTACCTGTTTTTTTGTTATGTGATTATCTGCCCTTAAGAAGTCATGTGTCACAGCAGAAAAAGCCATACCTGGTACTTGAATGTGTGACACTATTCATTGGTGCAAAAGTAGCATTTCCTATCCAATTCGCAGTCGATATGTTTGCCTTCTATGGTGGCCATCGGTCTTCGGTGTCACCTTGCTTTCAAAGGTTTTTGCAGTGTTATTCAGTGTTTAAAATATCTATATGATATAAACATCTATATGACCAAACTCATCACTCAAGGACTGGGAGCTGAAAGGTTCTTTTTTTTCCCCCCTCAGAAGCCCAAGATCAATGAAAGAAGGTTTTAAAGAAATAATGAGGGCCGGGCGCGGTGGCTCAAGCCTGTAATCCTAGCACTTTGGGAGGCTGAGGCGGGTGGATCACGAGGTCAACAGATCGAGACCATCCTGGTCAACATGGTGAAACCCCGTCTCTACTAAAAATACAAAAAATTAGCTGGGCACGGTGGCGTGTGCTTGTAATCCCAGATACTCAGGAGGCTGAGGCAGGAGAATTGCCTGAACCCAGGAGGCGGAGGTTGCGGTGAGCAGAGATCGAGCCACTGCACTCCAGCCTGGGTAACAGGAGTGAAACTCCGTCTCAAAAAAAAAAAAAAAAAAAAAAGGAAAAGAAAAAAGAAATAATGATTCTCAGGCTGTAAATGAAACAAAAAAACTAAATGCTTCAAAATTAAATAATTGCATCCTAAGGGTTCTAAAGTCAGGAGGTGAAATGTCCAATATGTAACTATAGTTCTGTTCTAATACATCAGAATTATAATGACAGTTGCCTTTTGGGTTTATTTCCATTGAAAATCATGGTAACTGATAAATATGCACCAAAACATTCTCTAATACTGCTTAAGTCACTACTAACCTTTGAAGTCCTTTGTAAATAAGAGTCAACTTGGTTATGCAGCAGTCTACATTAAATGTATAAAATTGCTGTTCCTCTTGCCCGTAGTAGCCATGGCGGCCATGAGTCTGTTGCAGCGGGCTTCGGTTACTGCGGTGGCAGCTCTGTCTGGCTGCCACCTTGGCACCCAACTCGGATTTGGGGGTTTCCTCACTCGTGGCTTTCCGAAGGCTGTTGCTCCTGTTCGACACAGTGGAGGCCATGGGAGAAGACTATTTATCATCAAACCTACTGGATTCTATGACAAGCGTTTTTTGAAGTTAGCGAGATTCTACGTTTTCTTGACTGAGATTCTAGTGGCATTTATAACTCTGGTGAATGTATTCGTTGGTCAGGCTGAACTAGCAGAAATTCCAGAAGGCTATATCCCGGAACACTGGGAATGTTTTCAGCATCCCATATCAAGATGGATTGCTCGTACTTTCTATGATTGTCCTGAAAAGGATTATGAAAAAGCAATGGCCGTCCTTCAGATTGAAACTGAAAAGGCTGAATTATGGTTAAAGGAGATGAAAATACGAAGATTAATGCATGTGAGAGGAGATGGACCCTGGTATCACTTTGACACAGTTGATAAGGAACTTATTGATCATTCTCCAAAAGCAACTCCTGACAAGCATTTTTTCTCTAAATACAAAGTATATTCTCTTTATTGGAAAATAAGTTAGTAAATATATTCTGTATTTTTGTTCTCCATGAAAAATAAAAGAGCTTCTGACATTCCTGTTTCTCAGTGTTGGTTCAGATTAAAGCTTTTGTTTGGGGGGTTTGGCTTCCAGTCCCTGAAGAATGTTTAAAATGTACTAATAAAAACTGGAGAACTAGGAATTTGTGAACTCCTAAAGCTGCAGCAACTTTGAAAGGTAGTGTTTCGTTTACCTGACAGATGGAAATTATACAAGTCTAATTATGTCAAGCACCAGTCATTACAGTATTTTGTACAACTGTCTGTATTGAAGGGCAACTTCGGATTTTAAGTTCTATAAAGTATTGAAGCAATTCTGTAAAATTTTAACTCCTTAATAAACAGATTTTCAGTAAAAAAAAAAAATGTATAAAATTGCCAAGTCAGACAATTAAAAAAACACACACACACCAAGAGATAACAATTTGAGCTACCATATAGCGCTTTTAACTTCTGTTGTGGTTAGAAAACATACTTTTGGCCAGGTGCGGTGGCTCAAGCCTGTAGTCCCAGCCCTTTGGGAGGCTGAGGCAAGTGGATCACTTGAGGTCGGGAGTTCGAGACCAGCATTGCTAACATGGCAAAACCCTGTCTCTACTAAAAGTACAAAAATTAGCCAGGTGTGGTAGCACATGCCCGTAGTACCAGCTACTTGGGAGGCTGAGGCAAGAGAATCACTTGAACCTGGGAGGTGGCGGTTGCAGTGAGCCAAGTTCGTGCCACTGCACTCCAGCCTGGGTAACATAGACTTCATCTTAAACACACATATCCACACACAAAAAAACACAACTTACTTTTAAGAGTTTCGTTGTTTTCAATTTAAGGTTTGTGTTGCCCCAGAATATCTTGGTGAATGTCCCATGTGCACTTAAAAAAAAAGTATTTTGTTTGCTTTTATATTTACCTATCCATTTGCATCTATGTTTTGCTTAATTCCTGAAAATCCTATTTCCTTCTGGTATAATTTCCTTTTATCTTGAAGAATTGTAGCATACTTTTTAGAGCAAGTCTGCTTATGACAAATTCCCTTAGTTTTCCCTCATTTGAGAATATTTTATTTTTGCCTTCATTTCTGCAGAATATTTAGCTGATTATACAATTCTTGGTTAATGGTTTTCTCCCCTCCCCAACCCCTCAGTACTTTATAGAATCATCATTGCATTTCTTAGAAGATAAACAGCTTAGATACTTAGAAAATAACCACAGATACTTTCCTCAAAATTTCAGTATGTGAGCTAAGAGATCTAATATCTGAGACGTTCATCTTAAAACACTTAACTGTCAATGTTTTCCATTCCAGCCATGCCTTGCCTAGAGTTCAATATGAATGTTCGTTACACTTACACAACCATGTTAAAGTCTAACTGCTCTGTTTACACTTAGCACGAGAGGATTCAGGCAAAGCACCTTTTACCATACTTGAGGTACAAAACAATTCTGGCCACAGAAAGGAAACAAATATGTAGTGTTCTAAAGTTACCAGGTGTGCACGTATGGAAAATTAAAGCTTCAAAACCCATAAAAGATTATTTTCAGCCAGGTGTGGTGGCTCACACCTGTAATCCTAACACTTCAGCAGGCAGCAGTGAGTGGATCACTTGAGCCCAATAGTTTGAGATCAACCTGGGCAACATGGCAAAACACCGTCTCTACAAAATAATACAAAAAAATTAGCCAGTCCTACTGGCATGCACCTATAGCCCCAGCTATGCGGGCGGCTGTTGCTGAGGTGGGAGGATCCCTTGAGCCCAGAAGTTTGAGGCTGCAGTGTGCCATGAGCATGCCATTGCATTCTAGCCTGGGCAACAGAGCAAAACCATGTCTCCAATAAACAAATAAATAAAACAAAAAAACTGTCTTCGGGTCTCATCTGTTGTCATTCAAATAGTTTTCCCCAATATGTAATTTTTCATTTTTCTCTAAATCATATCAAGATTTAAAAGTTTTGGTTTTTAAATGGTTTGATTCTGATATGTTGAGGTATTCTTTTATTTATTCTGTGTTTATCTAGTTTCTGAATTTGTAAAAATTATGTATTTCACTAAGTTTCAGAAGTTTTCAGAAATTACCTTTTCCAAATACTTTTCTGCCTCTGTTATTTTCTCCTGGGAATCCACTGACAAGAATGTTAGCTGTTTTGATGTTGTCCTACATGTCTCTAAGGCTCTGTTCTTTTTTTTTTTTTTTTTTTTTCAATCTTTTTTCCTCTCTCTTGTTCCTCCTATCTATGTGGGGTATTTTCTGTTGCTATATCTTGCAATTCACTTACTTTTGTTTCTGTCATATCTATTCTGATATTGAGTTCACCAAGAGATTTTTAAAATCTTAGATACTGTATGTTTTAACTCTTCATTTTCTGATTAGCTCTTTTTGAAGGGTTTCTGTTCCTCTCCTGAGAACCTCTACCTTTCTGTTCAAGTTTGGTCTTCACCTTAGGGGTAAAGTTAGTAGCTACTTTAAAGTCTTTTTCTGATAAGTCCAACATTTGGAACGGATTGGCATCTATTGATTGTCCTTTCCCTCGAGAATTGAACACATGCTCCTGTTTTTTTTTTTAAATGTGTCAAGTAATTTTGGATTGTATATTGGAAAATTTGAATATTATGTTGATTTGATTATGTGTTCTGCTATCCCCTGGATACTATTAATTTTTGGTTTGTTTTAGTAGGCAATCCATGTGACTAAGCACACTCTTGCTTCCTATAGACAGTAATTCTATTCTCAGTTTAGATTTTAATGCCTTTCCTGGGCTGCTTTGGTCCTAACCTGTGTGTGTGCTTGCTACTTAGGGGTTAGTCTGAGCTGTAGGTCAAACTTTCTTTTTTGTTTTTCTTTCTGACTGTTATTTGAGTTCAAGGGATACATGTGCAGGTTAGTTACATGGGTAAATTGCGTGTCATAGGGGTATGGCGAACAGATAATTTTGTCACCCATGTGATCTCATAATACCCCATAGGTGGTTTTTCCATCCTCACCTTTCTCCCATCCTTCACCCTCCAGTAGGCTCCAGTGTCTATTGTTACCTTTTTGTGTCCATGTATACTCAATGTTTAGCTCCCACTTATAAGTAAAAACATGCAGTATTTGATTTTCTGTTCCTGCATTAACTTGTTTAGGATTACAGCCTCCAGCTCCATCCATGTTGCTGCAAAGGCCATGATCTCATTTTTTAATTACTGTGTAGTATTCCATGGTGTGCGTGCACCACATTTTCTTTATCCAGTTCACTCCTGATGGGCATCTAGATTCATTCTATGTCTTTGCTATTGTGAATAGTGTTGTGATAAACATACACATACCTGTATCTTTATGGTATAATGGTTTATATTCCTTTGGGTATACCCAGTAATGAAGTTGCTGGGTCAAATGGTAGTTCTGTTTTAAATTCTTGCAGAAATCTCCAGACTTCTTTCCACAGGCCGAACTAATTTATATTCCCACCAGCAGTGTATAAGTATTCCCTTTTCTCTACAATCTTGTTATTTTTTGACTTTTTAGTAATAGCCATTCTGACTGGTATGGGATGGTATTTCACTGTGCTTTTGATTTGTATTTCCCTAATGATTAGTGATATTGGGCGTTTTTTCATGTGCTCATTGACCATGTGTTTGTCTTCTTTAGAGAAGTGCCTATTCATGTGCTTTGCCCATTTTTAATGGGGTTGTTTGTATTGTGCTTGTTGATTTATGTTCCTTATAGATTCTGAATAGTAGATCTTTGTTGGATGCTTAGTTTGCAAATATTTTCTCCCATTCTGTAGGTTGTCTGTTTGCTCTATTGGTAGTTTCTTTTGCTATGCAGAAGCTCTTTTGTTTAATTAGGTCTCATTTTTCCAATTTTCATTTTTGTTGCAGTTACTTTTGGCATCTTCGTCATCAAGTCTTTGCCTGAGCCAATGTCCAAAATGGTATTTCCTAGATTTTCTTCTAGGGTCTTTGTAGCTTTGGGTTCTATATTTAAGTCTTTGATCCATCTTGAGTTGATTTTTGTATATGGTGAAACTTACAGGTCTAATTTTAATCTTTTGCATGTAACTAGCCAGTTGTCCCAGCAGCATTTATTGAATGGGGAGTCCTTTCCCCATTGCTTGTTTTTGTCAACATTGTTGAAGATCAGATGGTTGAAGATGTATGGCTTTATTTCTAGGCTCTGTGTTCTGTTCCATTGGTCTATATATCTATTTTTGTATCACTACCATGCTGTTTTGGCTACTCTGTAGTATAGTTTGAAGACAGATAGTGTGATGCTTCTGGCTTTGTTCTTTTTGCTTAGGATTGCTTTGGGTATTTGGGCTCTTTTTTGGTTCCAAATGAATTTTAGAATGTTTTTCTCTAATTCTGTGAAAAATGTCATTGGTAGTTTGACAGGACTAGCATTGAATCTGTAAATAGCTGTGGGCAATATGATCATTTTAATAATATTGATTCTTCCTATCCATGAGCATAGAATGTTTTTTCATTTGTTTGTGTCAGCTCAGACTTTTTTCAGCAGCATTTTGTAATTCTCATTGTAGAACTCTTTCACCTCCCTACTTAGCTGTATTCCTATTCCTTTTTGTTGCTGTTGTGAATAGGATTTCACTGTTGATTTGGCTCGCAGCTTGGATGTTATTGGTATATAGAAATGGTACTGATTTTTTGTACATTGATTTTGTATCCTAAGACTTTACTGAAGTTGTTCGTCAGATCTAGAAGCCTTTGGGCAGAGATGGAGTCTTTTAGGTATAGTATCACATCATCTGTGAAAGAGAATGTTTGGCTTCCTCTCTTATTTGTGTGCCTTTTCTTTCTCTTGTCTGATTGCTCTGGCTACAACTTCTAGTGATATGTTGAATAGGAGTGTGGGAATAGGTATTTTGTCTTATTCCAGTTCCTAAGGAGAACAGTTCCAGTTTTTGCCCATTCAATATGATGTTGGCTGTGGGTTTGTCGCAGAGAGCTCCTATATTTTAGGGTATGTATCTTTGGTGTCTAGTTTGTTAAGGGTTTTTAACATAAAGGGATTTGAATTTTATCAGAAACCTTTTCTGTATTTGTTGAGATGTTCAT